TAATAATAATAATAATAATAATAATAATAATAATAATAATAAATTATTATTATTATTATTTCAGTAATTATTTTGTAATGAAGAACCATACTATTTGCTAGGCCTATAAATAATAACGAGCCCAGGGGGAATATCTTTTGTGTTTATTTCCCATAACGTCGATTTTTTAATTGTTTTCTAATTCCTCCATTGTCTAAGTTCCCCTTAAGGTAGGCCTACAGGTTGGTTTTAGTAACATAATAATAATAATTTCAGCATGGATTACCTTGACCTAAGCCTTGTAATGAAGAACCATACTATTTACTAGGCCTATAATTATTAACTAGCCCAGGGGGAATATCTTTTCTGTTATTTCCCCTAAACGTCGATTTTTTAATTGTTCTCTAATTCCTCCATTGTCTAAGTTCCCCTGGCCTTAAGGTAGGCCTACAGGTTGGTTTTAGTAACATAATAACAATAATTAATAATAATAAATAATCATTTCGGCATTACATGTAATTAACCTGGTCTAGTCTTGTAATCAAGAATCTGCAGATTACTATGCCTGATAACTAAGCTTAGGTCTCATTCATGGGCGGCGGAACCGGGGGGGCCGGGGGGCCCGGGCCCCCCCACTTTTTGGCGAAAAATATATAATGTCTGGAGAACTTTGTATGATCGGAAATGCAAAAAAAGAAGGAGGGAAGAAGGANNNCTGTCTCTTATACACATCTAGAAGGATGGGAAAGAGAATGTTTATCCAGTACCCGACCGAGTTACATTTTCTCGCAATTCACATTGGCGGATCTGGGAGGAGGGGATCATTGGTCCTGACCCCTCCCTTGTGCAACAAAAAAAAGGGGAAAAAGAAAAGGATTCTAGACCTACCTTTTCAGGACCCGTGAGCTGATTTTTTTTTTTTTTTTGCTATTAGAAAAATTGAATTTTGAAGAACATAAAATTCATTAAAACACACTTCAAATGTCGGGAAAGCTCAATTCCCGCCATCTAGGAATTAAAATTTTTCCGGGGGAGAACCCCCGGACCACCCTTTCTTTTTGGGATTTATCGATTCATGGAAAAAAAATTACGCATGCAACTACTCATTTGTTTATGTATGTATACACACATAAAATAAAAAAGAC